ATCATATGGAATTCTGTCTTTCACTGCCAATGTTAAAAACCAATGACAATCCTTATTTTGGTTTGTACCCCTTTGATCTCTAGGCTATATTAAAAAAAGAAAAAATATTTTATTTAAGTAAATGTAACCTACCACATGGGGCGTGGCACACTAGGCAAGCTCAGCATGATGAACATTCAGGGTTTTTGACATTTCAAAGGTTTTTAGAAGCGTGGTACTGTGATGGTTGATCTGTAATTGGAAAAACAGGTATTTTTTATATTCTTATACTTACAGTTATTCTCATATCAATGTTGTCACCCAAAAACTTCACTTGACCTGGATTTGTTTCAAACCACTGTCTTACCATACTGTCATGGTTTTCACCAAGCTTTGCCACAAATGTTTGTGTGGTATCATAAGACATACATAGCTCCAGGTGATTCAGTCTGTTATACCCCTGTTAGTCAAAACAATCCCAAGCATAAGTTGTAGGATTATATTTCTAATTTTTGCCAAGTTTTAAGTTCGCTCAATTTTATTTCGTACAGCCTAAATGTTCTTGAAACGGAATCAGATTAAATAGAATTTTAGTTGATTACTAAGTATTTCAAGAACGATCTTTCTTGAACTCGACAAAATTCCAAGAAAAAAACCCATTTGCATGTGTTTTGTGCATGTAGTTCACCCGGTAAGTTCACTTACAGATAATTTTTGGCGGGAATTACTGCGCTGTTATTTTTTATTTTGTTTAAACAACAATTTTTAAAAAAAATGTTTTCATACGTATCTTGGAGCACTGATATTCAAAATAGATAAATCCTATGATTTTATGTTCAAGAAAATTCGAAAAAGCAAGCTGTTTTGACAAAAATAGCACGTAATGTTAAAGGATGTTGGACTGTATAAATGATTAGGGAAAACAAAATGTCAATGTGTATCACGTAATATTTACCATTTTTGTCATGCCTCCCTTGAGAAGTAGCAAAGAAACCACGTATTGGGCAGCACTCATGTTCTTGTTTCTTGCCTTCATCAGCAAAGAAATAGCCATGCCTGCAGCAATCAGCTTCCTTTCTCTGGATTTATTTGTATTCCTTTCCGCACTTTTTAGATTAATAATAGCCAGTACAATTTGATACAACGTATTTGTTTTCTCATTTACTTCGTCCATCAACTTCAGGAAACTAAAATTGCAAATGTCGTTAACATCTTTCTTACGAAACAAAGTTGTATTGTCCGTTCCCGCAGAGCACATAGCTGCGCATTCTTCCTTCACTAAATTTACAGTCTTCTCCACACATAACTTCTTCCCGCAATCTGTATTAACAACTGTATGGACAACATTGGTATCATCATTTTTCATGAGAGAATGGCAAAGACTGTTCCACTTTTTGTTAACAAGAACAGATTGTTGCCCTCTCGCTGAATGGCATGTTAGCTGGTAAATAACATCGTCGGTGTTGTTTTCACTTTCGGTGAAAGGTGGAATGAATGGTAATGAGTGTGTAGAAATTGGAAGTGAAACTGTAGTAAATGTTTGACAGGGTGAGGAAAGATATGTCGTCGTGCTCACACTTGATGTCGTGTTTGCTGCATTAGAATGGGATGGCTAAATGAACATGATAACAAACATTTAGATAATTACACCCTCGAAGTCATATAAAGAAACACAAGATGATGAAACTACACAGTAAATACGTTCGGTTATCTCCTCTACAATGTATACTACTTCTTCATATTTTTGGTTTAATGGCGTGAATTGTCTGTAATAAGTTTATGGATTATTCGTCCTAATTTTGTGTTAAAATATTAGTGCAAACATTACAATAATTAACACACCCAAGGCTGCAAGACCAGGAGTAAAGCACTTTATGACGACCACATTATATTTATATAAAATTAAAGTGTTTGCAGTAAAAGAAAGCTTGTCTATTTTTGCGTATCAAATAGAAATTTATTTAATTACCCTATCTTTTGTCACAATACAATATTTGTCACAATAACTCTTATTTGTTACAGCGATGCAAAATTGCAATTATCGTACGTGTAATTTGACAAGTTTAACTTTCTAGCTATAACAAATAAAGTATTTTTAAACAGTCTCACTCGGACAATATTGGGATATCATACCAGCAATATTTAGTAAACACCGATTTCAGTTAGTATATACATAGTTGCATATTTCTTCGGCAAAAGACTGGTCTTTTTATAATAAAATTTAAATAATGTCGTCGTACCTGTGCTTTGTCGTTGGAAAACTGCAATGATCTGGCTGAAAATCTACAATTTCTTTCGTTAGGTCTCGATGTTTTCGATGGTGGAGATCTAATCGAATTTGGCGAGGATGGTATTGTTTTTCTTTTCCCTCGAGGACTAATATTTTCCTTATAACTTTTAATTTTCTCGACGGCCCTATTCGCATTATTTCGGCAATTTCGACAACAATGGCGAGACAATCCAGGCTTGTCTCGTCTAATAGACAGACCATATGCCTTGAAAAACAGCATCGCTGTTGATGTATAATCATTTTCTGCATTGTAAAGTACATATCTCCTAGCGGGCGGACAGACTCCATTGCATATTCGACATCGAACTTCACCTGACATTTTTTATTTCTCTGAGTTGTTTACGTTTTGCGCGCGCGTTTAACAGGTGTAAGGGTTTTCCCTTCTCCCGGAAGTCAATCGCAACCGTTTTGATTGGACAAGTTGACGCATGCGCATGCAAATTCTTCTGGACCCTCCTTCTCCGCCGCGCCGTGTGGCGAGAATAGGGTCTGGGACTGGACTAGTGCATCCTCAAAAATCAGGAATGAAGATTGATGTAGAAAATATTTCCTTTCAAAATTGCTCTATTATACATAAAACATAACAAGATTCTTAGCTGGATATTACTCAGTCATCCCTGATGTTTCATCTTCGCTTATTAAGGCTTCATCGGCTCGGCAAATTCAAATTTTAAGCCGAAACATCAAAGGTCATCAAACACGTGCATTCTCAAAATTCACGAATGAAGATAGCAAATATTTCCTTTCAAAATTGCTCTATTATACATAAAACATAACAAGATTCTTACCTGGATATTACTCAATCATCCCTGATGTTTCATCTTCGCTTATTCACGGTTAATAAGGCTTCATCGGCTCGAAATATCGAGCGAAGTATTGTAACTTCGAAATCACGAACTGATTATAAAAAATGGCGGGGTGTAAATTCAGTGCTTCCACTTCCACTTTCAAAAAAATAATTTCCTTCCCAACTGCTCAAAATTTCCTTATTTTTGACAAAAATTCCTTTGATGAAGATGAATTTTACTTAGTTTAAAACTGATATTACAACAATTTATCCAGAATGACGGTGTATTTCTCGGGTGAGAAACACCATGAACCTTGCAATTATAAATTAATTATAAAAAACTGCAACAGGAGGCTTGAGGTCATGTCTCAGAAATTTTTCAGATTTTCCATTCCCCAGGAGTAGGATTTGGATTTTTGACATTTCCTGACGCGAATTTGCTTGGGAATTGCTATAATCTTAGAATTTATTAGAAATAACATAATATCCTTATTTCCTTGCTGAAAACAAAATTCCTTGCCGTTTCCTAGTAAATTTTATTTCTTTTTGCAAAGAAATGTCCTTGCAAGTGGAAGCACTGCATGGGATGACCAGTGTAGGCAACAGTTGAAGCCTCCCCCTTTTCTCACCCTCCGCCCCTCACCCCCCCTTCCATTATTAATGATTGGTCCCTTATCTGTGTAACTATAAAATACGGTTCTATTTTATTTCATTTTGCTAAGTAGGAAAATTCAGAATGTCTTAATTTAAATAGACTATTTTATACATATCTGCAAATTGTAATCCTGAATTCCTGTAAATGTAAAATAGGATTAAAATAGTGTATTTTATTATATTTTGCAAATTAGGGAAAGTAAATAGGTTTAAAATAGTATATTTTATCCCTATTTGAAAAATGTGGCAGTTTTAAAAATGTGCAATAGGTTTAAAACAGTCTATTTTATTCTGTTTTGCGTATTCTGAAAAATAAATAGCTTTAAAATACTATATTTTATATCTATTTTAATTTATGTAATATTCTGCACGTGCAAAATATGTTTAAAATAGTCTATTTTATTGTTATTTTGCTAACTATGAAAGAAAGATAGGATTAAAATAGTATATTTTATTCCTGTTTGAAATTTGTGCATTTAACTTCCAATGTAAAATAGGATTTAAACAGCCAATTTTATTTTATGAGTTTAAAAATAGTATATTTTATATCTATTTTAATTTATGTAATATTCTGCACGTGCAAAATATGTTTAAAATAGTCTATTTTATTGTTATTTTGCTAACTATGAAGGAAAGATAGGATTAAAATAGTATATTTTATTCCTGTTTGAAATTTGTGCATTTAACTTCCAATGTAAAATAGGATTTAAACAGCCAATTTTATTTTATGAGTTTAAAAATAGTATATTTTATATCTATTTTAATTTCTAACTGCTTTCTAGTGAAGTAAAATAGAATTTAAATAGGCTATTTTAAACCTATTTTTTCCCTGAGGCTCTGGAAAATAGTATTAAAATATGCGATTTTATTTCTATTATCTATAAAAATAGGAATAAAATAAAATAAAACATTAATAAAATATGGCTCTTTCTTTTGGTGAAATATTATGATAGAATTAAAATAGGGTTGCCTCTGAATAAAATCGCATAAAAATAGGGATGATAGTAATAAAAATAATAGTTTTAAAATAGCAATATAATATAGTTATTTTCGCAAGGGATGGCAGCGCGAAGGCGCGACGTTTTCGAGTTTTTATATTACTATGATAAATAAAACTTTCCTAGTGAGATTTAAGAGTGGGTATATATTATCCATGCATTCTACGAGCTTTCTTTCAACAAATTGTGGAATAGCTAACGCTAATACTGATCAAAGATGAAAGATCGAAGGACGAAGATCAAACTGAGAGAAAACTAATCGAGTGATCTGTCTTTAAACTGTCTATTTTGTATCCAATGCAGCTGCTTGTGTGCGACGTTTTATAAAGAATTAAATAAACATTGTTGATTATAAGTAATTTTTTATGTATTGACCAAAGAATATCACTTGGAATTTTATTGTACTTTTATGGAAGGATAAATCAGAGGGTACATCTATGGAAACGAAATTCTTCATGTGTATTAAACATGTAGTTATCAAAGCAGAATATTTTGAAACAATTAACTGATCGAGTGACAGGTTGGTTGTTAAAAGGACTACAAGTCTGTATTAAGCTCAATTAAGTTCTAGTTTAATACTAAAAGGCGGCCTTCACGCCATGCTTTTTAAGAACAACAACTTACGCATGCGCGCCCGCTAGGACTCCCGACTACGGGCTCAAAACCAAATATCAACATCTCCCTATTTTTACAAAAAGGCATATATATATATATATATATATATATATATATATATATATATATATATATATATATATATATATATATATATATATATATATATATTTAACAATTATACCATGAGCTCGAGTCGTATATGAGCGAATGGTATAATTGTTTTATAATATAGTCTAATATAGCCATTAACTGAAGCAGTAATTAATTATTCACTGTTACAATGTGTTGACAATTTGTTCGGCCAAAAACCGCTTGAAAATTTGAAATACTTTTGTTTTACAACTCGAAGACGAAGTGAAAGAAACGGTTTTAGAACCTCTATATCTCACAAGAAAGCTCAGATATATTATACAGATGTTTGGTACTATAGTAAGTGCTTGTTGACTGCAAATTCATTTGTCGTTCATTGCAAACTTTTCTGAACAATTTATATTCTCAATGAACATGTTTTTTCGCTGTTGTTTCGGTATTAATTCTTTGAAAAACTTGTATTTAAACTAATTTCTACGTAATAAATGTATTTTGCTAACCTGTCAAATTTTTTTTGAGAGTTTTTCCTTGTACTATTATGTTTCTCAAAGCGAATATTTTCCTTTTTCTGCTTCGCAAAGCTCATGTAGTTTTTGGACCGCCATCTTGTTTTTCGCTACTCGCCGTATATGAGCTGATATACGGCGAGTAAATTCAACCAATCAGATTGCAGAACAGCTCATATACGGTGGATGACTATATTATAAATATATATATAGATATATAATATTATGTATATGGTAGGAAAAAGGTTAATATATAAAATAAGCAGAAATTGAACCAGGAATATTAAGTCAACCCGAAAAGGGCTATTTCGGTCTTAATAATATACGGTACATGAAAACATGAAAAAAATTCTCACTTCTGATTGGCTAAGAGCAGTGCTATTTTTTCGAAATACAGTGCCAAAAAATGAAATACAGTGCAAAAAAAAGTAATACAGTGAAAAATTCCTAATTTTCTTAATTTTTTATTTTTCAAATTTCTTAATTTTCTCAATTTTTAAATGTGACTTACGTACATGACTGCATAATTTTTTGCATGTATATGTTATTAATAAGTAAATTTATTAATACAGGTATAGATAAGATGGTCCTCGTGCATATTTTTTCCAAATTGCACTCAAAAGTCGAAACCATACTATTATCTATACTAACGATGCATGGAAAATTTTAACCAAGTGTTTTGAGAGTGCAGGGTATTAAGTAAATTAAGGACCAGTCATTATTTATGGCAAGGAGGGGGGAAGAAAAAAGTGGGTACTAAACAAAATGTTATGGGTGGAAATGGGTGGGTTGAATAAATTAAAATTCATCAAGCCAAGGGGTGGTAAAGTAAAAATCATTAAGTCGGAAAATAATTTGTATTATTTGTTTTATTAAGATCGAATAAATATAATTTACTTTATATACTTGATTTGCGAAGTGATCAATTTGAACCTGCTATTACAGTCATGATAAAGTGTCATACTTGCTGGCTTTTTTGTTTTCTCAGAACTCAAATAAGTCAATTTAGCTTCTAAATATTAAGTAAATTGACAAAATTAAGTTAGGGTGGGTCTAAGATTTTTGAATGAGTGCTAGGGTTGGGTGGGGAAAAAAAAAATTTTTTGAAGGTTGGGTCACCGAAAAATTTGGTCAAGAAAATGTTTCTCCTCAGTGCCCCCATCCCTTACACAATCAACACAACTGGTGAGAGAAAGCGAAAAGCCGTTCTATTTAGATATGCCATTAGTCGAGACGATACTAAAAACTAAATCGTAGAGCTAATGATATCTTAAAGTTTGTGTGCTATACTGTATATATTTACAACATCAACATATGAGTTCATATCATTTTTGTCTGGCGAACATATGTATAATTTCCCGTTTACAGTTGGTCAACTGAATCAGTATTTTTTTCAGTTTTAATAATTTATTAATGCGGAATTTCACCCAAGCCAATTTTTGTGGGTAGCCGCGCATGCGCAGCTAACCACTATGTGAGAGACTGAAGCGCGATCTTCCGTTTCTCTGTGGCTCTGTGGCGCTGTGGCACTGTGGCTCTGTGGCGCTGTGGCCTTCGTGTCCGCGGTGTCCTGCTGCGCGGTTCCTTTTATCCTTGAACTGATACGAACCGTCTATAGACCACAGGCTAAGTTCACTAACGCTCATACCGTACAGAGATGTGTATAAATTCTTAGTAAAGTCTTTATTGTAATATGTTTTGTCAGGTCGATAGTCATTTCCAACGCATATAGAATCGAATATGTTGTTGTTTTTATAATCACTGCTTGTACAAGGGTCATTGGGGTTAATATTAGCGCAAGGGGTCTGTTTTATATCGTGTAATGTCATATTTAAACACGACGTATCAGTTTGATCAAAATTTTATACGTATTAGAAAAATATAGTAATTAGTGATATAGCGCGCGACGATTGGACATATTTACGTTAGTCTATATCGAAGGAATGTTGACGAATGACGAACATATAGGTATATAGAATCGAGTATGTCGTTGCTTACATAATGTTTGTAAGGCCACGTCATTGGAATCGGGTTAGTCGAATGTGTAAGTTAAGGCAAATAGAAAGCCAAGCACGGTTTACACAAGGATTAAATTAGGCAGTGGAATATTAGCGCTTTTTTACTTAGGGATATGTTTGTCGAATATTGAAAGCAAATTGAATGTCATTACCAATATATATGAGATCGATTATGTCGTTGTTTAAATAATTCAATCATTCAATCAAATATATGTTGATCTTTTTCAAACTCCGCCGGAAAACATCGTCCTTAGATCTTTGCATGGACTATCCTTGAAACTGAACTCAAACTTCACGAAAATTGTAGCTATATACGCAGCCTGTAAACCTGATGCTTTGTCTTTGATGTATGCTGTCCTTGAACAAGAACTGTTCTTGTCTTAAGTGTTTTCGTACTGTCTGTATTTCGGCGTGTGATGTATTTTGTTTCGTATACATATTAAAGACCTTGTACTGTTCTGTCTGTTCAGTGTGCAAATCATTTTTGACACATTAAAATGCTTTGTAACTTCTTAAATCTGTTTATGCTTATTGAAAAATGCACGTAACAGTCGTTTACGTATTTTTGTCATATTTGATGTTCAGTATGTGATTAAATGTGTGTATAATATTTGAATTGTGTTCAATTTACTTAATACTTTCTTTCAGTAAATTCGGAATTTGACAATAGCAATTATGGTGGAGTAATATACTAATATGGGCAACAAAATTGCTGCAACTTGCAACAAAATCTGATTTCTGCGCATGTTAATTGAAATGTTTTGTCAACATTTCTACTTAAAATGCGTTAAAATCAGATTTTGTTGCAGAAATTTTGGCTGCAGCAATTTTGTTGCGCGTATTACTCCAACCTCGGTATTACTCCAGCTTTAACAACAATTAATGCAGGCTACCCACATGTACGCAACGCGTACCTATTTTTACGTGTTATGCAGATTTTTTTAAAATTTGCCCAGCTGGCATGTGTAAAAAATTTAATTTAAACTCCAAAATTCCGCCTCACGCACATTAAGCCGGTTTTTCACTAGGCAGAATTTTGCGCGCGGAGCGGAATTTTTCTTTGTCTTGTGATTTTTCAAGTGGAACTAATTAGAAAAGACAAAGAAAAATTCCACTCCGCGCGCAAAATTTCGCCTAGTGGAAAACAGGCTTAATCTTGACTCGTGCTTTTTTATCCACTCATACGTTGATTTTTCAATTTAACTCATCTCAGGTGGTTATCAAGATATTTAATATATGTTGTTCAGCTGCACCATGCTACTACACACAATCCTGGCAAAAATCATGGACAGCGCGCGCGGAAATAGAAATACCTGCCTTGCCCATTGCGTACGTGCAAGAACAGCAATTTTTAACTTCCCCTCACCCCACCGTTTTATGTTGACAGCTTATAAATTGTTAAGTGATAAAACTCTGTGAAATGCTTGTCAAAACCGGGGGGGGGGGGAGAAAAAGACATGTGTATTTGAACAGTAATACTTTAGTGTCCACGGAATTTTTGCCATGATTGTAGATTTTAACATTGACTCAGCCTAATTAGATACATAAATGTCATTACGTCATATATGGTTACAGGTTAACTTAGTGAATGCTGGAATTCGCAACGATTTGTTCACTAGAATAATCAATATTATATATGATAGAATTGATCAAGGTATTTACACAGGAAACCTTATAAGCCTAGTCCTAACATTTCGAATTAAGACTGATACGCAAAGCTTTAAACCAAATACAAACTTTATAACAATAGCAATAATAACAATAATCATAACGATAGACAATGGAGTGACGATAAGAATATTTTCAATCACATTCAACACAAGCAAGCTTGAAGAATAATCTTCACCATAATAAAGAGCTTTGACTAAATACATACCACACAAAACGACGTGTATACTGAGAGAAAATGATTCCAGTACATTGTCACGTGTTCTCTGAAAAGGATTCACAAACATATGGAAAAGTAGGATGACAACACACAGTGTCAAAGCTAGAAGCAATCTTACGTGAATGTCGTAAACGTACGTCAACACAATAATCAAGACCAATCTGCGAAATATTAGAAAACCTTCCCAAGGAATATTTGAAGAAGGAAAACACAGAACACTTTGATGAGGTCTAAATGGACCCAATAAAACACTGAGAATGGCTGATTTGCTTCTCTTAGAAGTGGTTTCATTGCTATCAGTGAGGGAAAAGGAAATATCTTCACTACTGAGGCTTTGTGTTTCATTATTATCTTGTTCATGCATTACTGCATTATCGTTTTGTTCTATTGTGTTATAATTTCCTTGGTTTCCCATGCAACGACGGCCTTTTAGCAACAAGTACATCCAAAAACAACAAAATGGCAAAGGGAAGATACAAGCTGCGCAGAATTGTTCAACTCCAATTCGATCAACCTTTAAAAGGTACGAGCCGAGAACAGGAACAAGACAAAATGGAAGTATGGAAGAAATCATGTAAGAAAGAAGAAAATATTGGATGGTTTGATAGCATTTAATATTTCCATCGAGAAATAGAACATATCGATCGCCAATTGGTACACAGTGAAGCAAAGAGAGACAAAGTTGAGCTGTGGAAGCATACATTAATAATGAAATGTATGTGAAGGCCGAAGCAACCCGTTGAGAAAAAGAAGATTTTGTAGCGCTAACTATTTGATCGGACCTTGTTGTTGTAATATGTTGTAACTCTGTTCTGCTACTACTACTACCACTTTTAAAGTTTCTTAAGATTAGAAACAATTTGCTTACCAAATAAAGAATACAAAGAAGACCCAAGAGACAAAAACCCACCGAATGAAGTATGACTGCCTTGGGAACAGCACGAAAGTTTCTGAAAGGACAATTAAAAGATGGAACATTAACTAGAACCATGTTCATTACCCTTGTGATAATATTTTCAAAATAATGAATGAACTGACTCTTTTTAGAAGAAGCTACAGAGCTTCTAAGTAAATTGCAAACTTGATAGTAATAGAAGAATATCTTAATCCTCCCACTGGGTGACGAGAACAACAATTGCTTGTTAAATAGGCTTGTTAGCAGAAAACTCACGATTTCCTTATGGTAGAGAAAGAACACAAGATATAGAACAAGTAGTCCAATTGTGCCAAGGACAAAGAAATAATTTAAGGTGCATTCCATGTTGGAAATACATTGTGTGGTGAACAAACTTTCTGACATTCCTTCTGGACATTGGCCACAAAGTGTATCAGATCTGTTTCCATGGCAACTATCATTGAACGGACAGTCCTTAGTCTCGCAACAGTACCCTGCTGGACATTGAACAAAAACGACATTCACCCTTGTTTTATAACCCCAAAAGTTGGGTTTGGCTGTTACCACGCCTCTCTCACAGTCCCCGCCTCTAGGACATTGTCGACATTGAATATCGTTGCTTTTGTTGAAAGTAAGCTCGCCTCTTTCTAGTGTGTAAGTTTTCGTTGGACACTGCTCACATCGAACATTAACATAGTAACAAAGGATTCCAGTTTTGATGACCATGCACTGTCGCTGTGGATTCAATTTGTAGCCTTGCGGGCATAAGATCTTAAAGTTTTTCTTAATAATCATCCCACTACCCGTGCCAGTCGGTATACGAATAAATACAGATTGTCCTTCGTTCAAAGCAACTAAATTAAACGTATTTTCGCCAACAAAATAAAGCGGCTGGTTTTCTGACGCAAACAACTGGTTCGATGGCACTTTAGTCTGCCGGTTTTCGAAATAAGAATTATAGAAGGTAACTCTCGCCTTTTCAGAAATTGTCACCACGCCTGTGTAGGGATTTTCACCTGCTTTGTTGTCAAGGAAACGACACGATGATACTCGGCTTATACCAGTGGCAAAGTAAATTGCCGCTGCGCCATTAGGTGTACTAAACTGTTCGTATGTATTATCAACGAACGTGTTATTCTCAATAAACAATGTTAGCGTCGTTGGAGAATGGGAAACGAGGACCCGAAGATGAAGTGCGGCCGAATTATTTCTGAAAATGCTGTCACGTATCATAACTTTTACTTTAGTGTAGCTGAAATAGACTACAGTTAATGGAAGTGTAGCCCAGTTGTTGCAGTTATTTTCGATTACTAGATTGCTCAGAAATATAAATGTTATATTACGGACTTTTGAGTAAGAGTCGCAGATGTGTAATGTAGAAATGTGATCTTTGGGTCGGCAAATCGCAATATGATTTTTAAACCGTGATTCAATAATTGTGACATTAAGTATAGCTGCAAACGGCTTTATTGCGACCATATCGACGCACCGTGGAGTATTTTGAAAATCAAATACCGTACTACGAAAGAAAAGCTCTGTTTTTTGCCAAAGTGTAGGCTTGTTACCAATGTTTGTTATAAACAAAGGGCTTGATTTGAAGGTACTAGATTTTATTTGCATAGTGAGATTTTGACATCGCAGGTAAATTCCCCAGTTGAAATTATGCTCAAATCTTGAGTTGGTTATCAGAATGGAGCAGTCAGTGGAACGTTTGCTGTATATTCCATGAAAGGTTTCCCTAATCAGGGCATTCTGAAATACTAATTTCGACCTGGCTCCCACATCAAGTTCAGCTACAGTCTCTGAACTTGATATGACTAAGTCCAAGAATTTGATTTTTGTTGTATAAAAACTTGAGCTCATTATCTTGAAAAACTTGCAACTTTTCGTGCATTGAATTTCAGCTTTTCCATTAATGCCATGAAATGAAACCGATTTTGTTAGCTCGATAGAACATGCTGATTGTGTCACATTCTGGCATTCCATATAAGGTCTTCCTTGTGCATAATCAATATAAATTTGATCTCCATCATTAGACATCTTCACTGCATGTCGCACAGTACGACATGGCATAGTCCAGTTACCACAATTATAGAGATCATCTCCATCGTGGCTCACAAAGAACGAATTAGTCATGACAATTTGAGTTCCTAAAATTGGGATTCATAAAAATGGAAGAGTAAGCGTTTCGTTGCACTAAATTAAGGATGTATTCGAAGTGGAAGAGATTAAATATATAAAAATGTAATCCAACTTCATTTGTTTTTTATCATACGTTTTTCTTACTGATAAAGATCTGGGTAATTGACACCTATTTTATATCATTACGATCAAAAATGACCACGTACGCTTCGATTTAAAGTGACCTGTCGAAATAGCATGTTGGACCAGGAACTGGTCGCCAATCGCTGCCAATGTTGTTGTTGTTGTTGCTGTTGTTGTTGCTGTTGCTGTTGTTGTTGTTGTTGTTGTTGTTGTTGTTGTTGTTGTTGTTGTTAATTTAATCATATTTAATTTAATCATTTGTCACAACACAATCATTACACATTCAATCAACACAATAATTAATCATTGTCGTTGTCGCTGTCGTTGTCATTGTCGCTGTCGTTGTCGTTGTTGGGGAGGGGGGAGGGGGGCGATGCTCCTCGAAAAAAGCCTAAGGCTCCTTCAGTTTGAGCCCGATCGTCATGAACCTTGACACGATGATTTTAAATTATATTCGTCACCACTGACGATGTCCGATCTTTCATTCATTTTCGATTTAGGGGTAACGTTCAAGCAATTCTTGTCTGTACGCGTAGAATGATAATATGCATACCATTAATATTCACAGACAAGCCCCAACCATAACAAAGACAGTCATAGATCAGCGACTAACCATTAAATTTTGATTAAATTGTTAATAAAAAAATTAACAATTTAATCAAAATTTAAAATGATTAGTCGCTGGTCCATGATTGTCTTTGCCATGGTTGGGGTTTGCTTGTTAATGGGCATGATATTATAGAAAGCTGATCTATAGTTTCCAGATTGCTGAATAAATAAGCCAAATATTATTATCATAACCTTTTGTTTTCTTTGTTCGAAACAAAGACATCAAAGGACGTTTATAATAATGTTTAGCTTATTTATTCAGCAATCTGGCATGCGCAACACTGAGCTGAAAACATCAATTGCCCGCCCGAAGAATTAATTCTTTACCATTTAGCCATTTTAACATATTTAAAAAATATGCCTCGCCGAACCAACATTAAGGGTTTGAAACAATGCAAAAGTTTGCATGAGTTTAAAACAATGGATGAAGGTGCATGGTATGCTTGTTCTTCCAATTGTCGAGCATTTTCCAGAATCAGAATCACAACCATAACCATAATTATAAGTTGGCATAACAATAACAACAATAGTAACACTTATAAAGACAGAAACACTTATAAAGACAGAAACACTTAAAGAAAGAGGTATAAAGTGCGATGATTGGTATACAAATTGGCTCAGAATCATTGTTTATGATCACCTTTATAATGCATTGTGTACAAGCATTTCGAAAACTTGAAATTTTAAATAAAATGGATATTCAATATAACTATAGTACTCTCTTAAATATATATACATGATCGTATAGAAAAAATAACTCACCAAAACATAAGAGCAATACCGTAACCATATAAAAATGTTGTGTAATACGATGCATCTTTTGCATGCTTATATACTTATAGTTATATAAATTCTATAATGGTGATCGGTCCGTGGTGAAACTATAAGTTGCTTGCACGCGAATACTTCCTTGAATAGGCGACATGCCGTCTTGGCAAAAATACTAAATCACTTTATATCAGCCATGTTCATGAATGAATTTATCCAACCATGCAAACATCTTAAATCCAGTTTGACTGATTATTTGTCAAAAAATTGACTTCCTTAATCACTATATACCCATGCATGCCGTTCCGATGCATTTACATTCTTATACTGTATTGTATTTAAAATACTCATTAATAATTCATAAACCTTGTGGCAAATCATGTCAGCCATAATATGTCATGTGGAGTGACTTTATATCTGATAAAACACATGTGGCATTATATAATTGTTCATCCTAATTAGCATGATTTTATAATGGTTCATCCTAATTAATTGTAGTCGTATTTTAAGTAGGAGTGTTTTATAGTAGGAGTGTTTTATAGTAGGAGTGTTTTATCAGATATAAAACGCTCGGCTGCGCCTCGCGTTTTATATTTGATAAAACACTCCTCCTCGTGTTTTAAATAGTACATGAATCATTCGGATACATATACAGTAGATACAGAATATAAGTACAATTCATATCATTAATATCATTAATTATAGATCGTTTTTGGTTTTACTATTGTATTGCATGGTCTTTGACTTTGTTCGTTATATATTTCGAATATTGACTTTTTTTTGTACATTTCTTTTTCGTTAAAATTTTTTTTAAGCCACACCTTCATGAAAACATACTTTAATGCATGGGATTGGGTTTTATTGAACCGCACTTTTTTTGTTAAAACTATAGATATTGACGTTTTCGTTTAGCTTCAAGCAAATTTGCAGCCATGTGTGACTATATGTTGTCGCTGTATTGGAATCGCATTGCGGCCCAGCATGTTCGTCTCGCGTATCTTTTGTTGTAATTATTTTGTTCGATACAATAAAACGTCTATTTCGGTCTCGTTCAGTGTTGAAACCTCGACATAAAGAATCCATAAGTTAAATGAGCGATACTTATTCTGCAGATATAGTTAATCAATTTATCTATAAGGAAAGTAAGGAATTAGCCTGCGAATAAGGAATACAATGTCTGCTATTGTGAGCTCGTGCAGTCGCATATAGTAAATAGACGAAATGAGCTATCAAAAATACATGATTTTTCGAGCCGCCTTAACAATTACGGCGAAATATAATAAATACTGAAATAACTATATTTTACTTTTAAGGTTTGTTGTAGAAATTCATAATTCGAATCCCGCATGCATGTAAGTATTACCAGCAGTGATGCCGGCTGCGCCAAAGAAGAAGAAAGCAGGGAAAAAAGATTCAAAGAAATCAGCTGAAAAGAAAGGATTAAAAGGACTTCAAACTATCAGTGCGTTATTGAAAAGTCTCAGATTACAATATGAAGTGAAATGTAATGATGAGCAAAGTTTTGTTCTGCCTGCCGTCAAAAATTCTATTAAGGAATATGAAGAGAAATGCGAATTTTTAGTAAAGGTGAGACCTCCTTCGTCTTTTTTGCTTTTGTTAAGATTTATATGTCGGTCTTTCAATTATGTTACAAGCAGAATCATGCTCAGATGTTCCATCTTGCATGTCCACCACATTGCATAGAATTTGGGCTGGGTGTGATAATTCGTGATTTGTAGTCGTGCCGTACTGGTACGACAATGATTATTGCCTCGCATACACTCGGGCTGGTACAAGCTTCAGGTGTATTTAGTTTTTAAAAAGAAGTACATAATTATTTTCCGATATTGCATTGGCATACACAAACTCTAGAATCAACTCCAACATTTTTTTGTCCTACCAGTCATTCTACATTATTCAGTTCACTCCCCCATCGGGGCTTTTCAGTGACCGATTACATCAAGTATTACGCTTACTTATACTTCCATTTCCACTACACAGGAAAAAACGCCTAGCCTGTAACAATGTTGTTGAAAACAGGCCTGAACAATATTTTGCTGCCCATATTGTTCCTGGTTGTTAACAATATTGTTGTTAACAATTAATATTATCAACAACCAGGAACCAATATGAGCAGCAAAATATTCTTCAGGCCTGTTTTCAACAACATTGTTACAGGCTAGGCGTTTTTTGCAGCGTAGGCGAATTAGCCTTTCTCACTCCCCCATTTTTGGATGGCAACCTTTTTAGAACAACCTTTTTTAACATTTACAGTTAAATATTTGAAAAATTATTTTCACATCGCTTAGATTTTTCACGTTGTTTATAAAATAGTGCCCAAAAATGGCGGATTTAGACCTTCGTGGGAGAGGCTAATTTGTTCGCGCGAAGCGAAACGCAAAGCAAATCTTCCCATGTGATTGGTCAGCGAAAAAATTCGCCGCGAAAAAGTTGGATTAGTTCTTACTTTTTTACCGTTCGCGCGATCAAAATCACCTAGTGGAAAATGGGCTTTAGCCTAGACTAGTATTTATATTTACAACAACTGAGATATTACGTTGAATTCCTAACTATGTTTATCCTAAAGGTCATTTTCCATTGCAGTCGCTTTGCCCGCGCGGGTGGAGCGAACATTACTCAACTTTCTCCGTAGTTACCTAACCTGTGCATTTTTTGTCCGCCTGAATGCTCGCGGACACGCCATGAAAGTAGAACTACATTCAACTTTCTTGGCTGCCCGTGCGACTGATTCTTCACGTGATTAAAATTGGTCGCTCCGCCCGCGCGGGCAAAGCGACTGTAATGGAAAATGGCCTTAACCCACCCTGTCAACTTTTAATTCCCTGTGGGAGGAAACGGAAGTTCCTGGAGAAAACCCACGACTTTTGGCAGAGCAAGGCGCTTGCTCTGACGACTACGCCACCATCGGCTGCGTTTATGACGTACCCATACGGACTTCTAAACCTTTTGACTTTTAATTACAATTACGGTTTTGAATACCTTGGGTTTGGGAAGTTCATACGATACCAGCAAAATGTAAGTACGCGTCTGCAGTGATCACATGATAAACATGTGATACAATAACATTTATATATAGTTTTAGGGTGTGTTCACATTAGTGATTGATTGAGCGTTGAATAAATAAGTACAACATTACAATGGCGACGAGGAAAAATGTGCTAAAACGAAAGTTATAATCGATATCAGTGCTTTAGTATGGCAACTGCGGGAAAGATAGATGTAGCTCCTCTTGCTCCGTTTGATCCGATATCAGAACCGACATCCTTAAGTCAATGATGGAAAGTTTGGAAACGCAGATTCGAAACGTATTTAGTCGCGGTAAATGTGAAAGATAATGCCCAGAAACGAGCATTGTTACTTTATCAAGCCGGTGAGGCAACACAGGAAATCTTCGATACACTTTCAGAGACAGGAGAGGACAATGATTACAAGACTGCAATTGAAAAATTGGACGAATATTTTTCCCCGAAGAAAAATGTGGATTACAAGATATTTCAATTCCGTCAAGCAAAGCAAAACGCCGATGAACCAACAGACCAATTTGCAACACGACTTCGCAAACTAGCAGCTCACTGTGAATTCCACGATGTAGACCATGAAATAAAATCGGCTATTATTCAAAACTGTCGATCTAAACATCTCAGGCGGTATGCCTTACGGCAAGATAAAGTGACTCTCACCGAGTTGTTATCGAAAGCTAGAACATTGGAAAATAGCGAACAGCAAGCCAAGGGCATTGAAGAACGTTTAGCATCGACCAATATTCAAGACGAAGAAGCAAATTTTGTAAATCCCCCAAGATCTAATGGACAACAGCGACGACAACAGTGTCGCAACTGTGGATTATCTTG